TTTGGGTCGCACGAAGTCCAGGATCGCGGGGATGAATAAGGAATTGACCCCAAGGAATCCGAATTTCATGGCCCCAGAGCCCCCCTGGGGCTCCTTGGGGGGTAAAAGGGGAGCCCGTACTTCAAAAGTCAGGGTTTATGTCAAAATTTTGGAACTATTTCATCGGAATCAGAACGTGCGGAAATTTTTACTTAAATCGACACCAAAAAATTCAAAATCGGCCCATCCGTGTCCAAAATACCGACCCCTAAAGGAGGGGGACAGAGCCCTCTTTAAAAAAAAAATTCAAGTTCGTTAAATTGACGTGGAGACTCGGAAAAAATGTGTATTCGTGGGTAATCGACCCCTAGGAATCCTAATTCGAGGGTCCCGTTGTCCCCAGAGACTTTTCTGATGGGGCACAGGGGTAACCTCCACACCGGTTAAATTTAAAAGTTCAGAGTCCCCCCTTGCCCCATTAGAAAAGTCTCTGAGGACAACGGGACCCTCAAATTTGGATTCCTATGGGTCGATTACCCACGAATACACATTTTTTCCGAGTCTCCACGTCAATTTAACGAACTTGAATTTTTTTGAAAGGGGGCTCTGTCCCCCACCTTTAGGGGTCGGTATTTTGGACACGGATGGGCCAATTTTGAACTTTTGGTGTCAATTTAAGTTAAAAATTCGTTCTGATTCCGATGAAATAATTCCAAAATTTTGACATAAACCCTGATTTTTGAAGTACGGGCCCCCCTTTTACCCCCCAAGGGGCTCTGGGGCCATGAAATTCGGATTCCTTGGGNGGGGGGGGGGATCAATCTGTAAGGGAATGAATTAAGAATTGAAACAGAAGTTGAGTTGTGAGCAGGTGAGCACGTTGTGAGCAAGAAGTTGCGTACCTTGTCGCGAGAGTGCACGGCGAGCGGGAGTCCCACTACTGCGCTGATTGACCAGAGACGAGAGTTGCGGACGGACGATGTACGAGAAATTGCCTACGTGGAGGCGGTCCGCCAGCAACATACCCACCGGCAGTCACCCGGAAAGCAATAGCACAAAATAGTAGTTGCGTACGTTGCCAGCGAACGCGCTGCGAAAAGTTATGACGGTTCAATGGTGAGATTTTGTTAAAGAACAGATCATTTAACCTGACCCACTGTGCGACGAACAATTTATCCAGCATCTTCCTTCCCTTGACCCACTGTGCGACGAAAAGCTTGTCCAAAAACTTCTTCCCCCTGACCCACTGTGCGACGATCAGCTTGTCCAAAAACTTTCTCCCCCGACCCACTGTGCGGCCCTGCTCCGGTCGGCTCCCCTCATGCGCGCACCCCTCGCCTAAAACTTTCAAAGCTCGTTATTCTTAAACGGCTCGGCCGATTTAGCTCAAATTCAATACCAAACCAGTCCTAGGGGAGAACTACCACCTATAAAAATTTCAGCTCAAAATATTCATTTTCGCTCCAGTTATCGAGTGGACAAGATTTCACCTCCCCCCACTTTCGAGCCCCACCCCTCAAAATCTATTGCCTCAAATTTCAATTTTTTTTCGCAGAATAGTAGTCCTAATGAGTCTTTACAAAATGCAAAAAAATTGGTCAAAATATCTTTCAACGTAAGAAAGATATAACCACTCAAAAATCGAAAAATCTTCAAAAGGCGGAAATACATACATACATACATACATATATACATACATATATATATATACACATGAATTTGAATAGCATATATTTTCGTGATCTACGACCCGTGATCGGTGCTCTTCACAATGTCTCAGGTCTGGGTCCGACATCATGGGAGAATGCAATAGTGTATTTCCTTCGGAAAATACACTAATATTTCCTTCGGAAAATACACTAAAAAGGCCTGGTACGGTAGGTCTGGGGCACCCTGTATGGTAGAAGAATGGGAAGTGTAAAGAAAACAGAGAAAAAAAATGATTTATTAAATAACGTTTGAAATATGGAACATAATACATGAGGTAGATCTGTAGGAATGTGAATATAATGAAGAAGGAACATTTCAATCGTGCAAAAATGAAAAATTCAATCATTCTGCTGTGGCAAACCAGCCAATCGGAACTAAGTATAATCCGAAATAAAGGAATGTAGACATAGTTGAAAATGAACGAAAGATGAAGGGAAAAATACTTCAGTTCCTAGTCAAAATTTCAAATCAACGTGAAAACGTATTCCTAAATAACGAATCGATAATTTTGGTTGGAATATTTGCTTGGTAAAAAAATGTGCAGCTAAATCATTTTACTTTATCGCCTCATGACATACAGCCAAAACCTAAAATTTTAGTTTATAATTATTTTAGCTTATATCAAAAATCCGCTTTCCTCCAAAATGATAAATAATCAATACCTAATTGAAACCATTGCCACTATGTCTTATTACGTCGCTCCTCTATAATAAGGGCGTATCTCGATTTCCACGTCATTTCTGTTCTCCGCACAACTCAGCTTTCTGGGGCTCATGTGGAAAGAGTGGCAAGCACCGGTGGCGTGGTGTGTTTTGCGATATATCGATTAAGCTGCCATTTAAACCTATGGAAAAGGATCGATACACAAGGTGTTCGCAACGAACACCTTACTAATCGATTCTTTACCATAGCTTCAAATGGGGAAATACCGATAATCGATCATTCACTCCACGCCACTGACGAAGCACATACGCCAGAGGAGCGACGATTAAAGTTACGAAAATATGAGAGCAAAAGTCGTAGAGGTGAACACAAGAAGCGGAAAGAAATAGGAACGAAAATCAGCTGTCACTTTTATCAGTAAAACTGCGGACGCTAAGTTTTGTACTTCTCTCACTAAATCTATTACTCAAAATTAGGACGTCAGTTACGAAGTAATAAATCTATCTGAGAAGCCCAGAGTCAGAGAGAGACTCGTGTGAATCAGCTGAGGAGAATATCAAAGCGCCTTCAATTTTACGAGATACTTTTTTATGTGCATGAGTAATAAACTAGCTGAACTGACGAGAGCTTCTATCCAAATCCAACTCAACCCGTGATTTGCTTCAAAATAAATTGCAGCGAATGCTTTCTTCCAAAATCTACAAATGAAAACCGATGGACCTAACGGATATTTTGAAAATCATCACCAATGAGCCAGACAGTAGTGTTTGAAATAGAAATCGCTAACAATGACCAAATGCACAGTACTAATATAAAGTATCAAGTTGTATTTTTTTAAGCTTTTTTCCTCCCAAAATGCCATTTCTACAAAAGTGTGCTGAAGATATTGATTTTGCAGGATCTCATCAAGAGCGGTCTCCGTCGAGATCTTGAATCCCGCCTTCTTGACCGAACTGGACAAAAATTTCCTCACAAAAATATTAATCCAGTCACTAGTGACCGACGTTCTTTTTCCCCTTCATTCCTAAGGGCGATCACAAATAGTAATGGAATTTGATGAGTCAGACTCCTTATTTAGGACCATCATCTACCACCTTTGGATAAATTCAAAATTGTGTTAAAGCAAAACTTTCAATTCTATGTTCAGTAATTTTAGGGCCTATGATACAATGTATGCTTCGAATGACATTAGCGGTTTTGCTATGACATTTTGGAACTGAAGCCTCATAATCTTCGGACAAACGGGTAAGCGAAGGCGATGAAAAAAATTTCAACTTTTTTTCTCTTTTTAGACGATGACAAAAAAAATGCAGAAGGTGCATGATAAGACCTGGGCAAAAACCCATCGCGACGGTAGGGTAGCAACCAGATTGGAATGCGAGTTTTTAGTGATTTCGTTTTTAAAATTCAGCAATATTAGAGTCCCCCCCCCCCCCCCCCCCCC